CCTAAACAGGTCTGACTACACCACCTCCACCTTCCTTAGCCTGCCATATCCTTCCAACCTGATCTTACCACAAGAATCCTTCTGAGAGGGAAGGCGCCATGTCTCCCAGAGCACAGTGATTCCCCTGAATGCTTCCCTAACTGACTACCAGAATTGACAGCCACACTTAACTTTACAAATGATGATTGATGGCAATGCTGTAGGTTTTGAGGATACTGAAGTGGATCATAGATTCTGGAGTCAAGTCAGCCAGGGCTCAAAGTCCCAGCTTTCCAATCCTGTTTTGTAAACTGTCTGACAGCTTTACATTTTAGTTTTCTTATTAACAAGTTGGGGGGGGGCAATATTAAGACTCTATTGAGCTGTTTAGAAAGATCAGATGAGAAAAACAAATGAGAAATGCATGAAAGGCCCATGGGACAGTCACTATCCACAGTAAGCATTCAGACGTCAGCTGTGCTTTGTAGACTAGAGAGTTTTAATGAGCGAGCCATTCTTTCCCAAAAGTTGACATGGAAATTAAAAGGCCTTGGCACATATCAAGTGCTCAGAACAGGAATCCATTTGATGAGCAGACTCCCTGTTCCACACTTTGAAAATAGTAAATAACCTGCATTCCTTCCATCATAAACCTACTTGCCCAGCAGGCTTGTGCTCATGAAGAAATGAGCGAATGCTTCTGGAGCTTCAGTAAGCAGATAGCTGCTCTGGTTAAATTATAGTAGATATTCTTGAAGATTCCTTGACAAGAGGAGCACCAATCAGGTATGAGAAAACATGCACAGATTGACCCTCACAACTTTATGGGTTATGCTATATTCAAAGTAGACTACTTGTTTTACATGTCATTTTTATGTCACTTGTCACTATGTGGCAAGACAATTGTTTTTTGTCATCATTGTTTATCCAAATAAATTTCAAAGGGGCTGACCTAAAGGATTCCAAGTGAATTTCAGAGGGGAGAGGGGTAGCAAACAAGAGTAATCACTTATTACGAAGTCCAAAATATGCTGTCTATGAGAGCAATCCTCATTCCTTTATCTGTAAAACTGCATACTGTGTACTTCAAAGGTTAAAAAAAAAGGCAATATTAACCATTTGGTTACATCACACATTCATGAGTCTAAACACAAAATGAATGCAATTTCTACTCACAGGAGAAAAACACAGCATGCCTATTTATGAACCATCAGGATGCCTGGTGTATCTTTTCTCAAGTCCACAGAGTATCACTAGGGTGTGGCAACATTTAATAGTATCATGCACATGAATGGAGCTCCCTCCAGGCTATGTGGATACTCATACATTTCCAGGACTGAGTTTTAACCTGAGTCATGCATCCTCACTACATCCCAGAAGAGCTACAAGCATTTATACACAGATGTAGTGTCATTAAGAGGAAGGTTGGGGACTTGGAAAATTCCCTCTATATGTATGTGGGGGGGGGCAGGGGTAACATCTTGAACAGATCCAAAACGTTCATAAAATCCTTAAGAGCTTCATGCACCCAAATCATTAAGAACTACAGCCTGAGGAGTTAGGAAGGTGGTGCAGCAGTTGAAAACAGTTGCTGCTCTTACAGAGGACTCTAGTTCTGTTTTGAAACACCAACATAAAGGCTAATAACCATCTGTAATTTCATTCCAGAGGCTCTGATGTCCTCTTCTGACCTCCATGGGCACCAGGCATGCATGCAATATACATACATACACAGAGGCTAAACACTTAGATATGCAACGTTTTAAAATCTTTTTTTTTTTTTTTTTTTGAGACAGGGTTTCTTTGTGTAGCTTTGCGCCTTTCCTGGAACTCACTTTGTAGACCAGGCTGGCCTTGAACTCACAGAGATCCGCCTGG